CCCCCCCCCCAACCCAACCCAAAAATTAAATAAATTAAATAAAATAACTGGACCTTTAAAAAAAAAATTTTTTTTTTCACCGATAACAATCTATAAAGGTGGCTGTATATGACTGTTCTATGCAAATACTTGAATGTTTATCTAGAGTGGAAATTACCCCACGTGAAGATCTCAGCTTGGACTTGGCGCACAAAACTTATAGTTGAAATTTTGCAAGCTGTTACGAGCGGTCGTTAAGATTATGCTCACGGGCTTTTAAATACGTTTATAGATTATTGTAGTTATTTCAGTTATTTCTTTCATTTAAAGTTTCATTAAAGGTAAAAGTTTTGTAAAAATAAGGTGTTGTTTATTTTTATTTGTGTTTTACTTTTGTTTTTTGTTTAAACTAAACCACCATCAGCCATGACAACAGATCTGATTTATGACGCGCTATTTCTACATGCAAACAATGTCGGCAGTTTTGAGTTCCAGGTGGCATGATTTCATGGATGAGTGGGTTCCTCAGATTCCTCTGTTACTGGTGATTATTTATTATATAAATCATTTTGAGCTGCTAACCCCACATTTGATTACTCTTGCACTAAAATTAATTAATAGAATGTACATTTTTTGTATCATACTCATAGGGGATATAGCTCAGTGGTAGAGCATTCGACTGCAGATCGAGAGGTCCCCGGTTCAAACCCGGGTGTCCCCTTTTTTTTGGGCCCGCAGCACCTATATTTAATTTTGTCCAAAACTTTTTTTTTTTTTTGTAAATTTGATTTTAAATCAAAAGAATAAAACTCATTAATGAATGGAATGATAGTGTAATAATGTAACTGTAGTTGTCAGTTGTATAATTATAACAACAATGTACATTTCAACACACTCACATCCTCTAATGTTATGTTATAGCTGTTGCTATATACTATATGTATCCCCCCTCTCTTTTTTTTTTAAAGCAGGCATTGACTCCGGCAAAGGTGATATCATCCCAGAACTTTCCCCCCTCCTCCTTCCCCCACCCTTTTAAACACACGCACCGTACCAAAAAAAAAAAAAA